AATGCATGTATTATCTTATTATGATATGTATAAGATAGGGTACATGTATTATCTTATTATTTTTATTTTTTTTTAAATGATAAAATGGTATGCAAAAAGATCAAATGAAAATGCAGAAAATGAAACAACATTCAAACTTAAAATTCTCTTTTTTTTTTCTTTTTTTAGAACGAGGAAAAATTCAAGAACACATATTTTTTATCACATGGAATAACTAGGATTCTAAGGTTTTTCTCCTTTTTCATTAATTTTTATTTGGTCAATGAACAAAGTATTTAAGAAAAACCTTTTTTTTTTTGAAAAATTTTGTTTTTTTTTATATGTTTGTTGGATAATGCTAAAGTTTTTTTCATTTTATTTTAAAATATTTTCTAAAAATGCAAATTTTGGATAACCACTAAATAAATGAATTATATGTCAAAAGAAAAAAAAATTTCAAGAAAATGTTTTTCTTTCATTATCTATTTCTTCTTTTTCAAAATTTTAATGCACATTTGGGTTATTTCTACAAAAAGGTTAGCAATGCTCTATCAAATACTGGTCCCTAGAGTTCATTATGTGCTAAGTGAGGATTTATATGTCTAGAAGTTCTTAAATTATTCCTCACCAGCATCCACACAAGACTATTAAGGTATCCCGATCCTCACCTATTATAGGTTACAAACGAAAATAGTTTAATTTGAGTGGGAGTATTTCATTTGTCATTGCAGAGGTTATGATCGCACGATAGCATAGGTACTCTATTTTATCTTAAAAGGAATGAAACTCAAGTATAGAGCTCATGCATGATATAAATGTACCGTGTGTGAATGAGAGAATAGAACATTGAAAACCTAATCTTAAATGCCTTACAATCTATCAAGAATAATATAAAAACATAAAATAATACATGTATAAATGACATAATTAAAATAAAATGCATGTAAATTTTTTTTATTCTTATTGTTATTTTTAAAAAAATCATAATCAAGAAATTAAAGTTAAAACCATTAAATCAAAATTAAAGATAACACATAATTAATTTTTTACCTGATACTCTAAAAAAATGACATCCCTAGCGAAGTCACCAAGATATCGTAACGATTTTTTTAGGGACCGTTAGACGAATTTGAAAACAAAAGAAGGAATCGCCACCAATCTTTTTTGGTTAGGTATGATTGGCTACCTATTCTTGCTTACATTCTTAATAAAATTTTAAAATTAATAAAAATTTATTAAAAAGATAATTTTTAAGTTTGCAAAAATAATTTGGATTCGAGAATTGGTTACGTGTGGGAAATGATTAGTACTCCCACAGCCCCCGTTTAAAATAGTACCAATTAATTATGTATTATCCTTCAATATTGACTAAAATAGTCTTAATTTTGGTAATTAAAAATTAATTTTTTTTATTGTAGCAAATTTAGTTGAGTTTTTTATTTCTATTTTATTTAAGAAAAATGCTAAAACCTTGTTATTGAAAGAAATCTTAAAATATTTCACTACGTTGGTAACATCAAAAATTATTCCCAATACTCTAATACATTGACAGGATTTTAAATAAATTTTCTTACCTAGAGATTTTTAAAAAATCACTACTCGAATTTCTTTAGCATCTCATCCTCAGGGATTTTCATTTATTTTTTAAAATAATATATATAAAACATGATATTCGTGGATCAATTTGTAATATTATTGTATTATACAAAAATCCATTCATCATTTTTTTTTGTAAAACATGTAAGTGAGAAATTTTATATTGAAAATTATTTTAAATACTCCAATACTTTGATAATATTTTTTAAAAAATTTTTACTTAAAGAATTCTTGAAAATTACTATTCATACTTCTCTAGAATCCCATCATTGAAAATTCATCATCATCATTTTTTATTATTAATTCTTAAAAGTTATGTACTAATATAATTATCTATAAATAAATTTATTTACTAAAAAATGCATAGTCTTATAAATATTCTATATTTTTATTTTTTTCAAAAAATCAAATTAAGAAAAAATAAAAAAACTTTTTATTGAAAAGAGTTTCTAAATATTCTAATACTTAGGCAATTTTTAAAAGGCTTTTCTCACCTAAATATTTCATTAAAATCATTACTTGAACTTTCCGAAGTTTCATCATCAAAATTTTCATTATATATTATTTATTAAATTTTTTACATTAAAAACAAAAATGAACACTAATAATAAATTTTTAAAAAATATATTTATTTTCATAAGTATTGTTAACTATCAAGGCAAGCATGTTGTATAAAAATATTATTGACATTAATAGTGTAAAAAAATATTCAAATAAAAAAATAAAATGCATAGAAATCGTACCAAAAAATAAACTTTGATGTTGGAGCTCAAACTCATGTAATCAGTAGACAAAAGCAACTTGAGTCCAACTACGGGTTTGGATTTGGGCTGCTGGAACGGGCTGGTTAGCAAGCAAGCTGGGTCACAGATTGGATCTGAGCCAGAAATGAGTTGAATCCGGTTGGTGGGTTGACTCGGTTAACTTTTTCTTTATTTTATAAAACCTTAATTTTTGTAAAAACATTTCCAACCTCTTCTTTAAAAAAAAAAATCCTAAATCTTCGTTCTTAAAAAAAAAACCAACAACCCCCCTTTAACCCAATTTTCAGTAGATTTACTACCGTTTCGCTACCAACTTCGCCGTTGGCTGCAGCTCACCAGCATCGGCTGGCTCGCAAATTTCACTATGAGCTTTCCTCGTCTTTTTTTCAAATCTAGGCTCTGTTTTTTGCAAATTAAACCATATCTTTCTAGATCTTAACTTGAAGTTCGCACTTTCTCAACCCTATTACACTTTTTTCCTCTGTCTGATTTGGCCATTATTTTAGTATGTTGCTTCCTTCTTCCCCTCCACTTTTTCCACCATCCGGATCTACAAAAACTCTCACTACCATGGACCCTTTTATGTTGCCATTCCTTTACAGTCGTTCCTTTACTGTCGCTGATAATGGCATCACTGGCTTCTCCTTTTGTCCTTCTTTGTTCCCTTTTCTTCTTTCCCCTTAAATCCAAACCAAACTCTTCTAAAAACCTCAAAAGCCCAACCAATCTCAGGCAAAACCGAAACCCCCTATTGCTTTGGTTTTTTTATATATTTTTTATTTCTGTTGTGGCTTCCCCTTTTTGAGAAATGAGATTAATTTTTTTTAATTTCTCTACGCTTTTGTGTGTGTGTGTTTGATGTGGTTTGACTTAAGGTTTGAGTGGGTGTTTTTGGTTGATGTTGGTGGAGACCAGAGATCTTGGTTCCAATGGTTGAAAGGGGAGGTGGCTGACCTAATGGTGCTAGGGGGTGGTACCGGGTGTGGCGCGGGCAAAGGCTATTTTTTGAGCTTGGGGTGGTGCTGGATGCGGCTCTGTGTTGAACAGGGGAAGGCTGTGCCAGGACTGTGATGGGGTTATACAAGGCTGATTAGGGGCCTGGTGCTTGCAAGGAAAATGGATGCTAGAACCCTCCCCCTTATGGTGTTTGGTGCTTGTGAATTTTATTTGTAAATTTTCATAATGGACAAAAATTGTATGGTAATGCAGGGTGTGGTTGCTGACGGTGTACAGGATAGTGGCCCACAGGTTTGAGGTAGTGGTTGCTGGCAGTGCCAGAACCTGTCTTCTGGTGCATTTTTGTTATTTTGTTTTTTTTTTCATTTCATTTTTTTTAATTTTGTGATTTTTTATTTTTTAATTAATTTTTTCTTTGTAAAATTTCAATTAATTTAATTAAATCTAAATGATAAAAGAAATAATAATAACAATAAAATTAAATTTAAAATATCTAATCTGAAACAAATTCGAATAAATTTAATTTAATATTTAAATTAGTTCAAATAAAAACATGTAAAATAAATAAACTTGAATTGATTTTAATAAAATTAGATGTCGACATAAAATATTTTAATTTATGTATTTATATTATATTTTACATAAAATTTATATGTTATAGTTTACGTAAACACAAAAAATATTAATTTTTTTAATTTTTGTTAATAAATCATATATAATCTTTTTAAAAATTTTAAATTGTGTTACATTGTAGGTTTTTCGAATCATTTTTATATCATATTAACATATTATATTTTAAATTATTAAATTTAATTTAATGTATCTAAAACTAATTTCAAAATTAAAATTTTATACCATCAGTCCTTATAAATACCAGAAAAAAAAAGTGATGAATAATGTTGAATGCAATTATCATGCATGCATGCAACCATTTCACGATGTGATATAACATTTATAACTTTATTTGAAGCCTTTCTTCATGTCAAATCTTTTTATATAATTTTTTTTATATATCCGACATGTGGAAACTATATAAAATATTTTTATATATAATTTTCAGTTTATAGTTGATGTGCCATTTATATATGGATTAATCGGTAATGATGTGTGTAATTAATGTCGTAATTTGGACGTAGATCACCCATCAAACCTAATATTTCATTAATTTATTAACATAATTAGATTTAGGCATCAAGCTTTAATGAACTAAAGCATCTGGAATTTGCTTAATTTGGCTGGTTATGGTTACATCAACTACATCCTTTTCTTTGAAAACAAAAACAAAATGTTCTTAATGAAAAAGATACATCAAACATATATAAATCATTGATTTGATTCATTTAATCTTTCATTAACCAACCCAAATCTCAACATCATTGTAAAATTTATTTTTTTATTTTTTAATTAAGTTGCATGTTTATTGAGTTTATTGATCTTTCAATTTAATTTATTGATGATAGATGTTTAACATATATATCTCAAGATTACGCGGTTTTTAATTAGATATGATAAAAAAAAATTTTTAAAATAATATGATTTAAAATTTTAAAAAAAATTATATATAAATTTAACTAAAAAACCATAAATATATTTTGTATTTTTCACGTTACATAAATTGTTATATAATAATTTTCGTATTTTTTACATATTTGACATGAAATATACATTACAAATACAAATAATTAAATCTATTTTCAACTTAATTATATAGTCTTCCTTAGAGAAATTGTAACACCAAAATATAAATAACTGGTATATAGTACATAACTACAAGAAACAATTCATATGAGCAATTGGAATCAAATGATTCAATTATTTCTTTTTGTCACAAACAACATTTGCTCGTAAACTAGCTACATCTTCTATAGCTGTAACTATTATTATGATATATATGACAGAAAAGACTACAGCAACAACTAGCGTCCCCTTCTTGCACACCAAATTAAGAACAGTTCATGTGAAGCAGCTCCTCTATCATTTGCAGTGCAATTCTCTCCTCATCATCCATCTCTGATCTCAGTTCAGGCCCCACGAACCCTGGGATCTTGGAAGGCAATGCATCGGCAGAAACTTCAGCATTTCCTTTTCCAAGATGCACAGTCATGACCCAATTGGAATCTGAGCTCTGGCCTGCCCCTTTTTGCCACACTCCTATATGAGAATTCTCAGTGTCAAGCCTCAGACAAGTCATGGAAGGAGAAGGTGCCTTGCCACATTTTCTAAGCTTGGCATGGAGGAGTTCAGATAGCTCTTTTGGTGGTAATGGATGGGAATTTTCGGTGCCTTTTGGGTCTCCACTTGGTGTTTGTGATATTGGGAAGTTCGTTTTTGCATTCCTGCCACTCATTAAGATGGCTGCTTGGTCATAAGCTCGGGCTGCCTCTTCAGCTGTTTCAAACGTACCTAGCCACACCCTTCTCTTTCTGCAACAAAACACAGCAAACAAAATTAAGGAAAAAGAAATATACCAGAAGACAATTTTACACATCGAATTGTATGTTTTTCAGAGGTCAGCTTATTCTTGCCAATAATCTATTCCCAAACCAAAAGGGGAAAAAAGAAAACTGAGAAAAGCTTGCAGGTTAGACTTACAGTATAGGATGGCGAATTTCAGATACCCAGGAGCCCCAGTGTCGCTGCCTGACACCTCTAAACTTGTTTGATTTCACCATAATTTGGAAACAGATGGAGGTTCTTGTTTTTCGCTTTTCTTTGGGTGTGGCTCACTCAAACAGATGGCTGGTTGAAACTGAAACAGGTACTGAAAAGCAGGCTCAGAGAAGAAGATCTATCATATATATATATATATATGAATGAAGTACATACGATCTCAGAGAATTAGATATACTAGGAGAGATACTAAGTGAAACAGTTGAACTGAAAATATCCATTGTCGGTGAACTAAAAAGGCTTGTACGAGGAAGCTTGCAATAAACATCGTCACCTAATCCTTCCCTACAACCATTAATGACCTACCAAATAAATAACTGGAGCTTACATTGTATGTTACTCTGTCATCGGCTGCTTCTCATGCAATATAATTGCATGTGATTGAAAATAATGTAAAAGTGACATGGATGGGACAAGTTCTTCATCAATACTCAACCTATGATTACTTTTTTAAGACCATTATTAATCTTGCAGAATAAAGTGTAAAGGGAGGTTATTATCGAACCTAATTAATGTTTTAGAAATGGTTGATTATTTATAGTACATATTTTTAGCTAATCTTGTTTGTTTTTTTCTTGGGAAGTTTATGAACTTCACATGGAGGAACTACTAAAGTAGGCCAGGTCTTGTAAAAATGAAGTTCCAAGGAACCAACACAAAGAGCTGATTGGAAGATGCTGTTAGACCCTCAGATAAGGCTGGGGAAATGGCAATTATATATCATCTGTCAGCATCAACTGCTGATGCCGACTGATCAACCTTGTTCCTATAAAAATTCTGAGTTTAAAGCTAAAACATGCAATCTGTTGCAAATGTTTTAAGATCAGAAACTGACGACTCACCAAGCAAAGAGAAAAATAATTACCCTTGCACAAGAGTGCACGAAGGATGGGGCATCACTTCAGACCTTGTGATTCTCACCAAATTCTATGGTATCTGCCTTAGAATTGGCAAGTTTTTTATATAGATTTTGAACTCACTGTTCTGTCCATCGGTTGAATCAATCGACATGCAATTCAGTCAGTCAAAGAACTTTTTCCCCGACTTAACCTATATATTTTAATGGTATGCTTAATGCTATAATTCACAAAATTTTCATATATCTAACACTACATAACCTTATAGAAAACTAAATTTTCGGTTAAAGGAGCTATTGACAACATAGAGAGACTTAACTGGAAGCACTTAGATCTGCAACCAGTTAATTAACTCTCTCAAACGAATCACGTGCTAGATGCCTCTTGCAGTATTTATAGACAGCCAATTGTAAACTTTTTCCTTTTCCATTAGAACAGGAATGGAACTTAAAATGGAAAAGCTGGAGTGAAGAAGTCTAATGTGGTGAGCTCATGCCAGCCCATACAAGGTTATTGCTGTTGTCGTGGCTGAATAAGAATCACTAACCACCAGCAAATCAAAGCACACAGAAAGCACAAGTAAACATCAATGAATACCTATCTTACTTTTGCCTGATATGCCACCGTGAGACCCAGTAGTACTATTTTAGGACACAAGTCCATAGCTCGAGACAAGTTCATTTGATCTGCCAATACTTCTAGAAGTTGATTTTTCTTTTTTTTTTTTGGAGGTATGGTTTAATTTTTAGATTTATTTGCAAAGTAAACAGGAAAGCATGTGGAGTGCTGACGCTAGAAATTTCAGATTTTAACATATATAAATCCAGTTGAAAAACTGTCCAATCAAAATTTGAAAGTATTTCCTTTGTTTTTTTGCTCTGGTTGGTGCCTTTTGGTTTTCCAACCATTTCTATCATCGACTCATTGGACTCGCTCTAGTATTTTTCCAATGGCGTGGCCGTGAGAAAATTTGAGTGTATAGAAAGAAGAGTGTTGAAAAGACGGTGTAAGTGTGACCGTCGCTAGCAGTTTTCTAGAAAGAATAAGAAAGAAAAAAAAGGCTTTAAGACGTGAAAAAGGTAATCTTAAAAATAATTATGTTTATAAGATATAATAAAATTTTAAATTTTTTAAATCAGAATTAATAAAATTGATAATGTAAAAAGATTTATTTATAATAAATGAATAATCATAAATTTTTATTTAAATAATTATGATAATTTATATAATCATATTTGTTTAAATAGTTATAATTATTTAAATAATTATAATAAAATTTTGATTTTTTTAATCATAAAATGATTATTTTTGTTTATATAAGTTTTTTCAAACTAAATAAATATTTAATAATTTATTAATATTTTAAAAATTAATAAGTAAAAGATTAAAAAATAAATTTATTTATCAAAAGATCTCAAAGTACCTAATTTTTTATTTTAAAGTTGTTTGATCCAATAGAAATATTCTTAACAAGTTCAAATAACTTGTTTCACTTCAATACTTAATTTAATTAATTAAATTATGTATGTAACCTATTTTAAACTACATATAAAATGATGTTATATTCAATGGAGGGATATATTATATTTTAAACTATAAACAATGCCCGGTAAATAGTGAGATTTAATGCGATTTAACTTTGGTTATTAGTTCTATAGACTACTTAATAATTATCTAGGACTTCGGTTCAGAGATTTTTTTTAGATATTGCAGCGTACTGTTACATTCAGGAGATTTTGCGACCTTCCTGGGCTAGGAAAGGGAGAAGAGAAGTGAAAGCACTTGTTCCGTAAAGAAGTCATTAACGAATGGGATGGAATAATAATAATAATAATAATAATAATAATAATAATAATAATGATAATTTCTTAAAAAATTTCCAGTAGTTCCTGAAACAGAAAGTACGATTGAGTGGTACATTCTGGAACACGAGTGCTAAGCAAAAATGACTTCTACTGCATTTCCATTGGGAGGTAAAAACATCTCTCACTATGAACGCGTGGGAAATTCGATTTGATTGATTGGTTGCATCTCCTGTGGCTAATGCTTTCAAACTTGGGTTGGTAGGGAAGGAAAAGCCAGCCCATGGAACTAGTGGTGAACCAGTAGGCACATGGCTCGACTCTTATCTAGAGTTACAGCTTCAGTTTCGATTCATCATCTTCATCTAACTGGATCAGACAATTAGCCACGTACGTAGGCTGTAGCCATGCGTAACGGCTAGCTTAGAAAAAAGATCTAACCATCTTGACCAGTGTACGTAGTAGGTTGCTAAATTTAACACACGCGGGCCATGAAATCAAAAGCAAAATCCAAATGCACGAAATTGATGTGCAGCCATTGAAAGAATTTTCTAGGCATAGAATATCAACATTACTGACTGTAATTCAAAACAGAGACCGGTGGCAGAACAATGTGGTCCAAATGACCCAGGAATAGTTTTCAGCATTATTATGGCATGTCGTGATGGCTTGAAATTTACAACCAAATCAATCTTTGTAGAGTCACGTTCCCAAGATTTATTGCCAGTAAATAATTTTACTTGCACTTGACCAACGGTAATTAAAGTTTTTTGGTTATTCAGTTCAAGTAAAACTAAAAAATATAGAGTTTGAAGCTAGCTCTTGTTGTCTTGTATAGATAGAGGAATGATAAAAAAAACCCTCTATTTGGTGAGTGTTTAACTATTTAAGTGCTTTTGTGGGTTGGAGAGAACTTTTTGTATATAATATCTTCTTCAATTAGATAGGTAGGTAGTAGGGTAGGGGGCTTAAAGATAGATTAAGAACTTAAAAAAAAATTATTTAATTGCTCATAGTGCGGGCTGTCAATTGTATTGAGATTTTGGATTCTTTGAGAGTCGCCTCCTGTTCTATTTTTCTTCACTTTCTTATTTGCTATCTTGTGTTAGCATTTTCATACTAGCGTTTTAGTCTCTGGATCCTTAATAAATTGGTATTAGAGCTTTTGGTTTTGAGAAAGCCATTAAATATTGTTGCAAATAACCACTGTAATAGTTGGTTCGTGGTTTATCTTTTTGACTGGTGTTCAAAATGGCAACTACAAGATTTGATATTGAAAAGTTTGATTGCAATACAAACTTTTCTTTATAGAAGGTCAAGATGCGCCCGATCTTGGTTCAAAACGGGCTTGAAAAAGCTCTATTAGGGAAAAATAATGTCAAAATCAATGTGTTATGACAAAAAGGAAGAGCTGATTCAAAAGGTCTTATCGGCAATCCAATTATGTTTGTTAAATAAGTTTTTCAAGAAGTTATTTGTAAAGATTCTACTGCTGGTTTGTGGACAAAGTTGGGGTCTCTATATATGATCAAATCCTTCACCGACAAACTTTATCATATGACTCAGTAATACACGTTTTAGATGCAGAAAGGTATATCTATTAAAACTCACATTAATGAATATTTATCCATTTTGGTAGATCTAGAAAATGTGAATGCTTATTCAGATGATGATAATGCTGCTCTGAAATTGTTATGATCATTACCACTGTCATATAAACAATTTAGGGATGTAATGCTTTATGGAAAATATAGTGTATCCTTGACGGAGGTTAAGTCATCTTTACTCGTCAAAAATATAACTGATAAAGAGATAGTCGAGGATAAGGATAATAATATAGCTGAAGGCCTTATTGCTAAAAGTAGGCCTAAACACAAGGGTTCAAGCACAAGCAGATGTAGGTCTATGTCAAAATCCAGACATAAGAATTTAATTTATTATATAAAAGGGCATGTAAATTCTAACTATTATAAATTGAAAAATGAAGAAAATTTTGCTAAAACTAATATAGCTGAAGATGAATCTAAAATTGATGTTATTCTGGTCACTGAAACTTATAAAAATAAATACAAAGATGAATGGATTATGGATTCAGTTGCTTTTCTCAAATGTGTCCCAATAGGGATTGGTTCTCTACATATGAATCTATTGCAAGTGAAGTTGTTTTGATGGCAACAATGCTTCTTGCAAAGTCAAAGGAACAATTTAAATCAAGATGCATGATGGCGTTGTACGATCATTGACAGATGTATGCCATGTTCCGAACCTGAAGAAAAATCTGATCTCTTTGAATACCATTGATGCTAATGGGTACAAATACGCAGTTGAAGGTGAAGTCCTAAACATCAGCAAAAATGCTCTAATTGTGATGAAGATTCTGAAAACTGGAAGTCTTTATATTTTGCAAAGAACCATGGTTACATGTGCTACTACTGTAATTTCCCCATCAATGTCAAATTCCTACTTGACTAAGTTGTTGCACATGAGATTGGGCCACATGAGCAAGAA